ATCAAAAAACGACAAAGACAATGTCTATATGAAAACCGTGACACGGACGCGCCTTTATTAAGTATCAGAACGTTATTCAGAGCAGAAACTATCGCTAATGCAGTGAATATGTTGTTATAATAATTATGATATCGCTCATAACATCGCAACACAAAACATCTTATTCCATAGAAAACAGCCCGAGGACTATTAAAGCCGTTTTGATAAGACAGTCCTACGTACAGACATGTCCCAACCCGTTTTACACAGTCTAATTCAACCTCATATGCGATATATCGATATAATTTTCATAATAGGATTATGAGCATATCTATACTGTGAAGTAATCTTGTCTTCAACTAATTGGTTATACAGATTTTCAAAATTATATTAACAACAATTATTGATCACATCTTGATACCATATAGTATAGGCACATGCGACTGCTATTCAGCTAGGACATCTGTACGAATATAGCCATCACAAAAATCACATAGCCTTAATTGATAGATACTTAATTAAACCCGTTTTATCGCCTAAAAAAGTACTGCTTCTTTGAAGTGATATAATATGTAAAACATTCTATATAGTATATGTAGAATAAAATAATCAAATATATACGTATCACAAATTTGCCAACTCAACACATTTGCATAAACATCACCGTCAGCTGCTTTCTCAATAGAATTCCCCCGTGCATAAAAACCTATAAAGTGATATCATATTCATACACACGCACACACACACACACGCACGCACGCACACGCACACACGCGCACGCACACACGCACATGCACGTTTATACCATTAAAACCTTACGATACGTGCATAGAGAAGTAAACCACATTCGGGCTTAGTAAGGCTCATAGGGTCTATGTCCCCCAGGGTACTGCCGGAACGTACCCTGGTCATTATTTGATATGGTTAGGGATAGGATTAGGGTTAGGGTTAGGGAGTAGGCGTAGGCGACTCCCTAGACTCGTTAGTGGAGTAGGCGAGGTACGGTCCGGCATATAATATAGTACCAGGGTACGTTCCGGTATACCGGACCGTACCCAGGGTACGTTCCGGCAGTACCCCGGGGGACATAGACCCTTTCAGCCTTAGTAAGATCACCATAAAGAACATTGTAAAAGCATGATACACAACACAGCGCACAACATGGAATACGCATATAAATCGTCAATGCATTAATTGTTGTAAATATGGTGCGTTATGGCCTCGGGGGAATATAATTATATAAGATTCATATATAGTCATACTTTATTTGATGAGTGTATACTATACTATATATATATATATATATATAACAACAACAACAAAGGCCTCCCCAGTCACTTGAGTCAATACAAAATGCACGCGGATGTTAGATAAAACACATGTGCAAATGCACACCATTGATTGTCAATGTTAGTGTGGTTAGCATTAATTAAGAATCCTGGATGCCCACGAATCGCATTGACACTGGTGTTGGTTGTGCTCTATTCTACTACCAGATTCACACAGCTTTCTCTTCCTGATATTTCATTAAGATTATAATTAGATTCTGATTCCAGTCTTTGAGTACGCATTGCTACACTGAAACTTATACTATACCGGCATACAATACTATAACGTTTGCAGGTGAAGTGTAAAACAAATCACGAAGGTTTTTAACAGACTTAAAAACGGCAACAAGAAGGAGCAAAAGCTCAAAACAAAAGGTACACAGCACAACACAGTCATAAATGCGCCATCTGTGAGTGAACAGAGTAAACAAAATGTAAACAATGCATGTTTAACTGTTATGGGTTTTTTCTTGCAATCGCGGGCGAGTTTTCTCACAGTCGCAAGCGAGCTTTCTCACACTCGCGAGCGAGTTTTCTCACAGTCGCGAGCGAGTTTTCTCACAGTCGCGAGCGAGTTTTCTCACAGTCGCGGGCGAGTTTTTTTAGAATTGCGGGCGAGTTTTCTTACAGTCGCGAGCGAGTTTTCTCACACTCGCGGGCGAGTTTTCTTACAATTGCGGGCGAGTTTTCTTAAAGCGGGGGAGCACCGACTCCCATTGTACGCTATTCCGCCACACATCCAGTCCATATTTAAGGACAAAACGCGAATAACAATAGATACACGCGTGGCGTTATGACTCATTTTTCACGCGACGAGATCTATGTTTGATATTACCGGGTCCAGAATTAAACCCGGTTTGCTGTGCGGGGAAGTAGTGCAGAACGGGTTAAATGTCACTTCACAAGGCCAGCACACTATACACCTGAGCTTGAACGCTAACTTACACCGACCTAGTCATGCGCCGCTTATGAAGATATGTTCCCGACAAACCATGTCCATAATTTCAGCCGAGATTCTTGATGATAAAAAAACCATTACTCTTTATTGAATTGTAACCGCTGCAATCACACGGGGCAAATGTCCATGTCCGATCACGGAATACCATAACATACCGTAATCGAGGAAAACTATGAAAAAGCATAATCGAGGAAGGCTATTGTCCGATCGAAGATCCCGCTAACAACGAACATAATTGATCTGATATAATCTCTATCTCTATCTCTATCTCTATCTCTATCTGATATAATTGAAATCTGAATTAAATATCCGCCCAATTTCGTCAGTGAACTTCGCGCCACTGCTGTGTAATTTACTAAATATGAATCGCTCGTTTTTGTCAGGTATGCGTAGCAACTGATAACAATGAATCGTACGTCACGGCGATGCACGGGGGCGATGCGTCACCGGATGGAGACCCCGGAACCTCTGCTGCGTCAGTCCCTACAGAAACGAAGCCAGCAGCGATGGGTGACCACCAGGGGGCATCATCGACGCCTCGCATCAGCACGGAGCCGCCAACACCGCCACCAGCGCCACCAGCGGGCGACGAGGGAAACGCGGAATTTCCAGCAGACGGTATCGCAGCCGACGGACCGACGCGTCAGGACTTCGGAAGCAGTATTCTATCCCTGCGCGCGCCTCAGCTTCCTGGCCAGCAACCCGTCGGTCCGTTCCAACCGAACGCCGGATTCGAACGCGGACGAGGAAACGGAGTTCCGTACGGAATCCGGCGACAGGACGGCACACCTGCGCCGGCTGGCGCGCGGGATCCAACCTTCGTCATTAAGACCTACGGCAACCCGCTCGGCCGTCCGGGCGGATCGGGGCCACCACGCGAGCCGCGAGTGACGGCCTTCAGCCGGGACGATCCGCATCCGGATGTGGCTCCGGGAGTTTATATCGGACCTGGTATAACGCTGGAGACACCCACTCGCACCGCCCCAGGAGGAGGAAGAGGAAGAGGAGGAGGAGGAGGAATGACTGGATAGAGAAGATTCGGATCCGGAATTTCTCCTACGCTTCTTTTTCATCAGCTTACTGAGAAATCCTTCTGACCTGTGAACTAAAACAAAAACTCGTATTTAGTAACCATGCAGCATCAGAAATCTACATAATAAATTAATTGCCAAATGCTGCCTTCAACTAATGTGCTTCATGCCATCATATCATCGGGAGTGTATAACACAAAGATATGATCCAAGGCCGTACGCAGGAAATTTTCTGTAGGGGGGCAAAGGTACTCCCCATGCCCCCTGTGCACTAACGTTTCGCAATTTCACATTTCTTTATTTAAAGTGTAATATTTCTTTGATGATTTAAGATAACCTTGTCACATTTCTATTTTATTTATAAAAGTGTACAGTATTTGTCCTATTAAAAGGCATACTCTGAAAATCTCTAGGGGGGCAACTGCCCCTGCTGCCCCCCTGCTGCGTACGGCCCTGAAGATATCTATATTATACAGTCCTGATATTATTATGCTGCACCTTTATCATGCTACAATAGAGTAGTACACGTAAAATATATGCCTAATAAAACACATTGCAGAGTAAAATCTATAAACACAGCACTAATAACAATTACACACTAATTACACACGTAATACAAGCATACTTGCACGTCTGTAGCTATAAGTATAAAGCTGCTACTATAGGTACCTGAGCTTCCATACAGTTCAGTCCCCAGGTCCTTATCCATGTTATCTAGGGTGGAATAGGAACCTTTACTCCTCGGTATGAAAACACTTGTCACCCCTGCTTGACTAGATACTTTATTTTTCTACAAAACACAAGACACATTAGTGTCAGTGGAGACTGTATTATTATTTTATTCACATGAACTATACTTCGTACTTGCTTTCTTCGTTCACTTTGCTTGTCTTTCATGAAATCGCTAATCACCTCTTATTCTAACTGAGCCCAACCAACAATTCTTATAACATGACTGAACCCATCTCTCCACGTTGTTACATTTTGCGAACTATATTGATCAACGCTGGTTCATGCTAACTGTGGCGTTTTGATGACATTTTTTGTGTAGCAATCAAGATATAGTGGTGTGTGTGTACAAACTTTTGTGACAGTTTTCCATCTGGGAAATGGCGTTTTAACCCCGGGGTGGGGGGCACTCCATATATATTGCATGGTAGGTATGTGCCGCGGGAGAGACCCCCATTTTCAACCCTAAACTTCCATTCCAGTGCATCGCATTTTTAAGAATATCTCGTTCCAGAGCATCACAAGTTTAGTTACCATGCAGATCTTTCATTTTTGCCGTACCGGAGACCCTAGTTTGTAACATTTCCGTTACAGTGCATCGTACTTCAGAATATGTTGAAGCCGGGCCGTGAAGGCATGCATGCAACGCATGCACATATGCATGGATGGATGATCCGCTGCTGCTGCTGCTGTTCTTGTTTTGTCTCAATTAGTTCCAGAGACCCCCACTTTCAGTTTTGAGTTAGTTAGAGCCCCCTTTTTTGACTTCGCAGTCGCACATACCTACCATAATGTGGGGTGAGTGCACCCCCCCCCGGGGTTTTAACCTATCGCTAGATGAGGCCGTATAAGCTTACCTCATCTGTTATTGTTTCCTGACTCGCAGATTTATCCAGCAGATTAGAACGCTCCTGTCCAGAGGTGGTTACAATAGTAGGATGATTCTTGGTGCTCGGAATGGCATTACTACTTGCGAGTAACTGCTCAGCGTGGGTTGAACTGTGAGTTAAACTGCAGGCATCCTCACCTGTCAATTATTAACAGGGAAAAGATAAAGTTTGAAAAAGTTTCTATAACAGCAAAGGCAATTTGTTGCCTTTTATAGATTCGTTTGCTATTAATGAATGCAGAAGAACAGCGGGTATTCATATTTTCGTTATACATTTTAATTGCAAAATTGTAGGACAACCAAAACTTAAAAGCACGGAAATACACTACAAAATATCACTGTAGCAGCACTACCTAGCCTATTTCCTTACAAATTCAAGAAGGTTACACATGAAGAGCACTCACTGAGACTTGAACTTTCTTTCTGGCTATTAAGTCGTTGCCAGTGTGGAGAATTTGATTTTCCACATGAGGAACCAATATCTTCTTCTGCCAGAGTGATATCTGACATGTGGAAGATGTTATCCTGCAAAAAATGACAATTTGATGTAAATATAAATGAAAAGTTATTGACCATCTTAAGCAGCCATGTATGATGGGTATACATAATATGATACCCTATCGCCACTCTACTAAAGCTATCCCTGCCCATACCACTTCCACTAAACCCTAACCTCTACCATCGAGTCTCACTTGCCCTATTCATGTTTTGGCTATCAAAAATGAAAGTGTCAATGACACTATAGCTCACCTTGGGTGTGATAGAAGAGGGAGATAATATTTAAAATTTGGTAAGTGTTTCATTTATGACGGACCGAAATGTGATCAAATGTCCTTATTCTCTGTTTTATACTAATAGAAATTTCACTGCTTTGTTTCAGCGTTAGTTTTGATGCTAAAATAAATGTTTCAGATCTGAAAGTCTGAAATCTGGGCGAGAGATGGCGCCTAAGACTACGCCTAAATGATCGCCATTTTGGTTTTTGATTATCGTGCAAATAAAAGCAATAAACTATTCCAGTCAAATTACTGTAACGAAGAATCTAAAACACAATATTACACGTAGGTATGATTAGGTAGGTAGGTAGGTAAATTTAACTAAATCAAATTAATCTAGATGGCCATTTTCATTTTTGCCAAAAAGTGGACGTGGCTCGAAAGTAGGTCAACTGGCGTGCTCCAAAATAGGACGTTCAAATCTCTCCCATATGAGTAACAACTGTATGCAATTTGAAACATGTGGGTCAAACGGTTCTTGAGTTATCGTGGACTGTAGGCAGACACTGAAATGCATAGTCAAATTGCCAAAATCTACCTAATTTGCATAATTTAAAAAAAATATCAAAACCTGTGTGATATGTTTTGGGGCCAGTCCTTATTCATTGACATACAAAAAATGAGCAAAATCCGTTGAACCTGAACTGACTTATGACCATTTCCATTTTTGCAAAAAAGTGGGCATGGCTCGAAAGTAAGTCAACTGGCGTGCTCCAAAATGGGACCTTTAAATCTCTCCCATAACAGTAACAACTGTATGCAATTTGAAACATGTGGGTCAAACGGTTCTTGAGTTATCGTTGACCGTAGGCAGACACTGAAATTCATAGTGAAATTGCCAAAATCTACCTAATATGCATAATTTAAAAAAAATATAAAAACCCCTGTGATATGTTTTGGGGCCAGTCTTTATTCATTCACATACCAAAAATGAGCAAAATCCGTTGAACCTGAACTGACTTATGGCCATTTCTCAAGTTATCCCGTTGACCGTAGCCAAACGTTAACGGACGGACGGACGTACGACGAACAACGCCCCATGGCAATAGCTCATCTTGATGCTGTCAAGGTGAGCTAAAAATGAACAAACACCTTAGGCACCATGCTGGAACTGTCTCCAATATAAGGATGTTACTGTGACACAGGTAAGAGATGTTACTGTGACACAGGTAAGAGATGCTCACATGCTGACTGAGAATAGACCGGCTAGCATGGGAGGCGGTTGGTAACGGTTACACTTACATCGACCTTGGTAAACTTACATCGACCTTCATCACGGCAGGCATGGAGTTGATCGTGCTCGCGTGGCTGAAGCGTGAGGTCGAGCGAGGGAGCGACAGCTTCCTACGCGACTGCAGAGATGAGGTGCTGGCTGCTTGTGAAACAGTCAAGCAGCAGTGTTAACACGGTCAGTTGTCACCCTATTCGTCTCATCCTTAATGAGCCTCAGTTAATCACCTGTTACTTTAACCCATTGCTCCTGTGACACTTAACATTATTGTGAACCAGTGAGATTATTGTAACAAATACGTTCTAACGTGCCCAATAGGTGACGCCACCTGCTTCCCCGAAGCAGTGTGAAAACCAACGTGGCAGCCTGTACACATGTATAAATTCGTTGTTCTTCTACAATTTTAAACACTTGTTCTCCTCTATAAGAAAATACAACAGCTCCTTAGATAGCATGTAGACCTTCAACGCAACTTTTCTTTATAACAGAGAACTGTATCATAACAGAGTCCTGTGCAGCTCTATTCCGCCCTACAGTAGTTTTCTGTTCGGTTAATTACATTAGGTGGCTGTTGACAATATTTCTAAAACTTTTTTGGTAAATTTGTTGCATGCCCCAACACTGAACCCCTGACGCACAGTAGTGAGGTAATATCCCTTTACTTTTAGTGTGGTCACTACCCTTTGACCGGTCAAGCACAGTTAGACTTAATTACCTGGGTCCTGTCTGTTTAGAGTGCCCACGCTGGGTCACCGAAACACATAAATTTCTCCACTGTTTTGGGGTGGCAACCGAAAAGAGGCGCTACATCTCTTACTCACGTGTTTAAAGTGGTTTAATCTAGGCCCGGGGGAGGGGGGGGGATCTCATCTGAAGACCACGCCCCACACAAATGCAAATCCACGGACGAAATATTAACACGAGCAAAACACTGACAATGCGTGCGAATTCCTAGCGATACACACCTCTGGTATCTTGCCGCGTGAACTGTCTCTTGAGCTTGGTGAACAGGTTCACACGCTTGGAGCTGCTGCCGACGCCTGTGATCTCTCCACTACTTGTCATCTTTGCAAGCGGCGCAATGTCCACTGGCGAGCTCTCTGTGTTACCCTTATTAATCTAGCGACAACACCAACGAACAAATCGATGTGACGCGTGAAAGATTTGGAAAAATATCTGAAACATGTGATGGTTTCAATGCAGAGAAAAATAATTGAGGCACGGGTAAGTAATATAGAAAGATTAAATATATATTAAATATGCATTTGCACGCGCACTCGCATAGGTGAACACGCTCATACATAAACAGGAAACTAACACGAACCTGCAACGAGTAACCCACGGATCGTTCATTATCTTCCTGGTCCTCTGGGATACCTTCTAGTGTTGGCAGGAAATCCATTTCTGAGCTGGGCACACTGTAAAGTTTAAGAGAACATGGTGGTACATCAGTAACATAACCACGGCACGCAGAATTCGGTGGGCAGCATACATAAATCGACCCCATCAACAATCCAAACACATACGCCTGCACACAAGCGCAGACGCACGCACACGCAAGGTCAAGCGTAAAACCGCAAACAATCTGTGAAACAGAACATCACTGCATTTACAACAAGATATAGCGCCACCCAACAATCCCTCGCCCATCCAAACAAATCTCATCGAATCATCGAAGAGGTTGAAACCTGACAGTAACTCGAAAAATCGACCCCCCCCCCCATAAAACCGCTTCTACCACCGAAACAAAACTCCAACTTCCACCATCATCTCTGGCAATCTCATTGTCATCATAACATGTGACCACCCACCGTCCGGTGCAGTCCCATGGTTCCCCACAGAAGTGTGAATGATTTTTTCAAGGACTTTCAAGGACTGTGGGAGCCCCGAGTCAGCACGCGAGCGGACGGGAAGAGACGTACTTACACGACGTCGAACGCGGATCCCATGAAGGCCTCCGTCTTGTAGATCTCCGATGCCGCCGTATATGGAAGCTCCGGCATAAACTCATCCCAGTACTGATCCTTAATGAGTTCCGGATGTTCAGCATGCATCTCGTCAACGATCAGGTAAGACACCTGCAAGGTGACCGCTGCCGTGTACTCACACGCTGGGGTAAACACGCAAGGTTAGATTAAATCGAAACTGAAGTCCAATTACATAGAGTTTAGTAAATTTACGCTTTAGTTGATCTTTTTCTGTTCAGTCGGGTTTTTCGATGATTTGCTATGAATTGCTATGCGAATGGTATCAAGTAAATAATATTACGTATTACATAAATATTATTGTTATTACGTAGACATTTTGAACTGGTGATCTTGTGTATTTTCCCTATTTATCTGTTATGTATATTTAAAACAACGTATTTATCCTATTAATTTCCTATAGTCCCATCGTCTACATGCCAACAGTAGTTTCAAAAATAATAATAGTGAGGAGGAAGAAAATCAGAAAAACCACAAGCTGCACTCAGCCTCTATTTGTTTTCTGGACCAGTGATCCTAAAATGTCGACAACTACGTATATATATATATATTTAACATTACCATACAGTGAAGCACTTCAAGAATGTTGGTATAGTTCCAGTTGACATACTTACCAGGCCATAGCAACCAGTATTTTGTAGCCGTAATTGTTGTACGGTAACACTGCATTGCTATGTGTGCTCTAGGTCGTTCCAGACCATAAATTCTGGCTTGGAAACATACAGACCTTTCATGCTCTAAGGGGATATACATTACATGGCAGACAGGGACAACTACTTGTGTTGTATTTCTCTTTACCATGATAATATTCATGATAATTATACAGTAAAGCAGAAACGTTTCGCTGTGAGACAAATAAAACGTTCGAAACCAACCTTTATGTTTCTGTCAATAATCCAATTTAAATCAAAGTCATCGTCATCTTCCCCCATAGGGTTAACCATCGTCTCGGCTACCTGAATAGTGTAAAGACATTAATTAAAACACTAGTTTCCTTGCGGGAATACCTGTCATGCATCAGACCACTTTTCACTAAAAATATTTATCAGTTATAATGCTTGATATATGAGTAAAGGTCGACATGAAACTTGAAT